CCCATGGACACAGACAATAGTCTGGTGAAGGCCTGGCGGGGAGCAGATGTGGGGTGGAGGGATCAATGGGGGAAAAAAAGGGAGGATATCTGTAATACTTTCAATAAAGATAAATTAAAAAAATAAAATAAAGGTAAAAAAAATAAATAAATTTTTAAAAAAATGGCAGGAGTTTAGAAGAGTTAACACTATCTATTAGATGGAAGAATCCATATATTCTGCCACTCATTCCAGTAATAAGCACATTCAGTGCTTATTATGGTGCAAAACATCAACCTACGTAAGAAGTAAACAAGTGAATGCTTCTGACTTAATGAGTGTATGTTTAATGAAAATAAAATAGATGTATAGATTTATGTGTTAAAAAACAGAAAACATAACATTTCTGTATTACTCATTTAAAATAATGTGAGATGATCTTAAAAGAAGATCTACAGAAAATAGTGTGACTTAGCTTTAACAACTCAGTTTTTTAGCAGGTATTATTTAATTTCTTGGCAGAAGAGCTAATTCTTCAAGGACACTTCAAATTACATAGCTTTGATGGTTAAAAAGAATCTTAAAAAGTACACAAACCTTAGACCACAATGCACACCTCACCTTTGGAGAGCTGCAGGAATCCTTTTTAAGTTCAGATGGCTTTATGTTGGCACTATCATCTTCTTTTGGTGACTTCAAGACTTTTTCTGGGCTTTGAGTTGGCTAAATGATATTTTTTTAAATGAAGAAACAGAAAACACCAAAGAAAAAAAATTTAGTACTTGGATAATAAAGTAAGGTTTATCTCTGTTCCCAGCATGTACTGTTCCAGCTTTCCATTATTAACAGGATGTTACATAATTTCAAGCTGAATAAGGCCCTTGCAGATCTTGAGGGAAAAACAGGTTCCCTCTCAGCAGTGAAAATTTTCTCTACTTAGGTCATTTAAAAGCACCATCATGCTTATGAGCTAATATATTAGCAATAAAGTATTATTAATATCCTGGGTTATGTATAGAAAGCATAAAAAGAAGTTGCACATTTAAATACCAGGATCAATACTACAAAAATCACTTCCTACTTCAAGGAGAAAGATGTTCTCCAACTTTCCTAAAATGAGTATATACCACTCAACTTAATTATTGTTGTTGGACAGGCAGATTATACAATACCCTGTGTCCTCTTCTGAGTGCTCTGTGATTATGGTCTCAGGACAACTCTATTTCTGGTTCTGGAACCTTCCATCCCAGCTCTGTTAAATGAGCAGGACACATTCCCCACATCTCCTTAAATACAACCAACCATGTACCACTTGAGTACATTAGCTATCTTCCTGATTTTTAAACTTTAGTAAAACTATAATGCCTCCCTCAGTCTTCTCTTCAGAAGGACTCTGGATCTACTAAATTCCTTGTTTTACAACAATGAGTAACTCACAGAATGTCCGCCATTGAAGCGGCCAGGCAACCTTCTTCCAGGCATCTTCGGTCTATTTGCAGTGAGATGTAGCAAGTTTTCTGAGGAAGCTATGTCATCAAAATTCACAATATCTGGAGAATAAAATTCAGTGTATCCACTAAGAAATAACTGTGCATTTTAAAAGGTAAAAAGCATTTCTGGATTTTTCAACAAACTATAAATTAAAAGGAATCACAAGCTGACCTGTGCTTTTCATATGCATTTAGAAAACAACACTCACCCATAAAAAACAAACATCCTCTTTACCTGATACATTTTATAGCACAAGGCTTTAGTAACAATATATAATTCATACTTTTAATAGACTTAGACCAGAGCGTTCTTCTAGAAAGATATAAACCTATACTTGTCACAAGCTGTTGTTACATAAAAAAGCTCTCAAGTTCTTGCTTATAAAAAAAAATTTATTTCTCATAACTAATTACAATAGATATCAGAAAATTAAAACAAAAAGTTTGTTTTAAACTTCAGGTGGTATCCTGATACTCAAAATTTAAGGACGGCCCAGCCGGGTGTGGCTCAGCAGTTGAGTATCGAGCTAGGGTCTAGGAGATCACGGTTCGATTTCCAGTCAGGGCATATGCCCGGGTTGCGGGCTCAATCCCCAGCAGGGGGCGTGCAGGAGGCAACAGATCAATGACAATTCTCTCATCATTAACGTTTCTCTCTCTCCCTCTCCCTTCCTCTCTCTGAAATCAGATTTTTAAAAAAATTTTTTTTTTAATTTAAGGCCGCAACTCTATCTGGGACCCTTCTGCTTTCCAGTTGCTTTTCTCAATGTAAAGTCAAAGTATAATTTAATGTGTCTTGGTATATGTATAAATATATATATGTATGTACACAGTCTACTGCAGCTGGGATGCACACTGTTTATAATTCAGTGCACTTCTGCTGAGACATCACCATGTTTAGGAATCATAAGGTAGCTATAAATCTAAGGCAGGTGGGAGATCAAGAAAAAATTGTATATATATCATTCACTTGTTTCCCCGCCATCAAAGGCTGGTGGACCTCTGACCCAGTAACAGGTGTAAAGACAAATCTAGATAATTCGTATCTCTGAAACAACAGTATAATGCCTTCACTTTTTCTACATGATCCAGAACACCTCGCTAAAGGGAGCTGATCTTTAATTTTAATTTTGAAGCCCAGGTATCTGTAAGTATACAAGAACCTTAAGGTTAACTCCAGATACTTCCACTGTCAGTATCTTCCTTAAGCCCAGATTGCAAATTAGGAATATTAATCACAGTAAAGATACTTGAAATGGCAGATTTCTTTGGCTAGTCTTCCAGGTATAGAATCTTCTTCACATTACCACTGCCTGGATGTTTATGTGCTTTTAGATGTCTCACCTCATTATTTTGTTATTTTGTAAAAGAACCCAAAGATTCTAATCATTACTGCCCTCAGCTTATTCATCAATTTTCATATTCAAAGTAATTCATTTAGATAAATTTTTTAAAGGGAAGAAGGACAGAAAGTGTAAGGCAGAGGAAGAGGTACCACGCTGTATGGCGATATGCATTTTGTGACAACTTTAAATGTCTGCTGACCACTTAATTCCCCTCCACCTTCACATTCTGGGATTAGATCTACTCACTAGGTTAATATATCACAACAGGCAATCTAATGTGCTTGGTTTAATTATTGTCTTCAGTCATTCAATAATTGTCTATAAGTAATTATAAAATATAACAAACCATAAGAAACACAATGGTTTTAACGGAAAAGGCATTATACAGTGTGAAAGACCTTGAGTTTAAATATATATTTAAATACCTCACTTTATCTGTAAATGTCACCAACAAAGTAAATAATGTTTTTAAAATGTTAAAAATATACTATAGTTTAAAGGATAAAAAAATTGCTTTTTTACAATGATGTTTATTGACAACCTAAAAAAAATCTTGAAAAGTACAATCCAGTCATTTTGGCTCATGGAGATTATTTTCAAATGCATATTTAAGCAACTTGCAGAAAGAAAAAGAAATAAGCAGAAAAACATAGGAAGGGATGAAGATAAATGAAACTGAAAGGGTAAATAAAAGGTAGGTTTGCAAAATTATACATCATGCTCATGTAAAAAGGCCTTTCATATGTCCAGTTTTGGGCTACAATATCAAGGCAAACAATTTTACTATTCTAAATCTCTCTCAGGTCCTCCATTTAAGCCATTAAGTTAGTAAAAGGAAATAGTGCACATTTTGGACTCATGCTATACTTGAACACATTTAAATTTCCCTGAAAATAATAACAGATTTAGACTGTACACGTGGCATAAATGGCATGACAACCATTTAACTCCTGCAATCATATTGTCACTCTGCCAGCCATTTACATTTCTAAATATTGCCTAAGAAAACGTGGAGTTTTTAAAAATCATAATGAAATATCAAATTTTGGGAGAAAATAAACTGACTTTTATGGTTTTTCAATTAAACGAAAAACTTTTATCAAAAAACACCTTAAACTAATCAGGAAAATTTTTCCAACGTGAATTTTATTTAAAAATGGAAAACCAAAGGGTTAGAATAGACAGACAACATGTACACTTTTAGTAAAATTACAACAAAAAAAAAAATCAATGTGCACCACCTATTTATACTAAATAAACTATTTTGATTTCTTTTATAAATTGTTATCTTACCAAAATGGAGAAAGGTAGAATAATTTCCTGACACGTAAGAAGGGAAACATGGCAAACAGGCTAGGAAACAAAATCTGGAAAGAAAAGTCAAGGATAGAAATGTCTAGAAAAAAGACTAAACCAAAAAAATTATTTTACAAAGCAGGAAAAAGGAACAGTTGTAGAACGAATAGAACCAGTTCAATGTTTAGCATATACCTATTACAAATCATCTACACTTACATAAGATGTGTACTGGATTTTAGACTTTTTTAAATTTTGTTTTTCAAAGGGAAAACTATAATGAGTATAAATTTCAATAGACATTTAACTAGAAAGAAGCATTTTTTATTACTCACTGAATACCAAGACAGTTTCCAAAAGGATGTTTTAGTGCTAATATTAGTAGTCAAAGTAATACATCAATATATTAACAACTTATTAATATAATTTTAACTAAAACTAAATTTCCTTTTAGTCAAGTTTCAGTCTTCAGTAAATGATAGTAAATGAGAAAATTTTAATTCTATGATCTAATAGAAGAAAACTATATTAAATATTCTTTTTAAGTATCTCACTATAAAAATGCAACTCAATACAACACTTGAAATCTCATACATATATAAATGAAAATTCAGTAATGTCCTATGATACTCTCTAGAATGACAGCAAGGATATTATTAGAAAATACAAATTTTAATCTCTGCTCTTATCCCTGGTAAATTCTACATTTTGGAGTATGGGGATTTGTACTGTTTTTGTATCCTAGTTCTAATACAGTATCATTTTTTCACAGTGTCTACCACTGAATGGGTAGGTACAGAAAAATTGTACCATAATTCTTTCTGGAAGAAATAAATGAATACATACTGGGAAAGTAATTCAAACAAAAATAGATCAACTATCAAAAAGAACTAAAGAGAAAGAATGGTTCCCTATTTAAAAATAAAGGCTTTGGATCAAATCATGTATGTATTTCTAAACTTTCCTTTTATCCCAAGAAGAATTTACCACAGAAAAAGAATTTAAAAAGATAAAATACTATACTCTAAGAATACTTCATCACATCAGCTGTGCTTTCTCAATGACATAGCTATGTTACGGCTAAATATTCTATCTTATATTTTAAAACAAATTGTAAATCCATTTTACTTCCTGGAAAACTGACTATTTTAGAAATAGTTAGACCACATAAACTTTAATTAACCAGTAGTGGCAGTGAGATTATCCTAGCCAATTTTTGATGAAGTGTTTAAAAACACACAATTAAAACATGGTTATAACAGCTCTATAATTTGTAGTACTATTTTATATCATATATGAGGCTATATATACACTTTTCAAAAGGAAAAAGAAAACCAAATTGACTGTTCAAGGAATGTTTTTCTTATATGTACAAAAGTCAGAGTATATATTTATATACATATATGTGTTTTATATGCCTTTATATACAGGAAAATCCTGAGAGTAGAATCAGGAATTTACATCCTTTATAGATAGGAGCAGAACCAGAATGAGATGGGGTTAAAATGGAGGAGGGGAGCAGAAGGAAAGCAACTTTTTATAATAACTTTCACGTCAGGTATTCCAATAAGTATCATAGAGATTTTGGGGCACTCAAATGTTAGTTAAGCAAGAAAATAGATTACATAGAAGAAACATGCCAATAATGATCATCAGCTAATAATTTACAACCCACATTGTTTAACAACAATGTCAGTGTCCTTTCTACTACATCATTTCACCTGATATTATTTATTACTTTACATAATAAAACTAAAGGAATTTTTGTATTTTTTTAAACTTTCTGAAACTTACGTTGAAGAGCTAGATTGATATGCTGTTTAAAGATTTTAAAACCTCAAATTGAGCCCACAATATAATTTAAAATATACCTCAACCTAATGCCAAACTTAAGGCTGTATTTGATGCAAAACAGTTTCCAAAGAAGAGGTAAAACACTTTTCTACTCCATGTACTAAGAACATGATATACTAATAAAAAGGAAATAAGGAACAGCCTGAGTTGAGCTGTGAGACAAGTAGTGCTGTCAGCAGCTAAGCCTTTTATGTTGATACATTTGTGCCTAAAACAGTACTGTGGAGAGAACACTTCTCAGTAAATATTTGCCGCTTAAGATGAAGTCAATTTCCAAAATTTCTATGTTCTGAACTTTATAGGGTATATGTGTGGCACACCAAGAGCAGTACGATAGCAGAAGGAATAAAGGACAGCAGCTTGAAAGCCAGCTGTTAGTCTCTTGACCATATAAAGTCTCAGCATCTCTAAATTACTCCCTTATTCATTTGATAAAAAAAGAAATAAGAAAATTTCAAAACCCTGTTCCACAAAGTCTCTCTGGTTTCTAATAAAGATTGAAAATGGCTATAAATATAAGAATTGGGACCAAAAACAGAGTAAAAAGTAGAACTTCTCAACCATCAGTGCTCTCACACAAGGTTACAGGTTATTTCTACTAGAAATGTAGCAAAGGAAACAAATTTACTGGTGACTGCATACAGAAAAAGTTTTGAAAAACTAAAAATTGTTTTTATTTACTTAAAATTTTTTTGCAAATTTCCATTACCTTGAGACATTCAAATAAAGAAAAATGTCCAAGGATGATACAAAGTAACATAAAAATACAGAAAATATATAGGCTCTAAATATTACTCCTGCAGTTCCCAAAACAACTCATCAAAATTTAAGACTTTTGATAAAGATCACAGAAAATTGTGGAATTTAAAAAGGTAATGCCCATGAAATTTTAACTTCCAGAGTTAAAATTGTATACTAAATCTTTATTTCTCTAACCATTACTTTTGAAAACACATTTCTAGCTGTATTTTACATCAAACAGAAAACAATAAAAACTGACATATTTTTACCACTAACCTCAACTGAAAGAATATTTTTTAAAAACACAAAGGGGATTTTATTTTATTTAACTAACCATGAATATGAATAATTTTCATCAAATAAAACATAATATATTTTAGTGAATGCCTCTAAAATACAATCAACATCTCAAATTCTAGAAATTATTAATGAATATGGCTTCTTCCAGAATAGGCAGGATCCAAAATACATGATAAAAGGATCTATAAAACATTCAAATTTTAAAAACTGTGGGAGGCCATGTTTAGGTCAGAGCTTTGGTATTGGCAAACTGAAAAGAGGAAAGACAAAGTCGCCTTTTTAAAGGTAATAAGTAGTACGTTTTCCAATATAGTGAGGGGAAAAAAATCAAAGAGTAACTGACCTCGAGTTTATGTTAACAATGAAACTGAAAAATATATTTAAAATATTAAAATTTAAAAAAATATTTCATAGAGCATTTAATATCTGCCCATACACACATTGCATACACCAATTTCTTCTTTTAAAAAGTTTCTGAAAACTGTATTGGCAACTTTTAAAATATACCACCTTTCTACATGTTAACTTACCTGTTTCTTTAAAGCTCCTAACAGTAAATGAATCTAGGTCTACTGATTTTGGTCTAAGTGGTACTTGTTCAGAATCTAGCTTTGGTTTTGATAGTGGCTCGGTTTCAAATTTTGATGAAATGGCAGACACTTCCCCATTAATCCTGAAATGAGAAAAATCCAACAGAGGCAACATGACCGCTTTTTAACATTTTAATTGACACCGAAGATGTTATAGCATAATACTGATTTCTCTTTCTGTTCTATAAAATGATTTTCATAAACAATGACCTCTACCCTAAAACTATTCCCAATAAAATCAGAAATGTAAGAACAGCTTAATATGAGTACATTCACCAGTGTGAGTATAAGATTAATATTTAACAGAATTATTAAGTCTATAGAAAAAAAACATGGAAACCAAATACATAAAAAATTTCTTTGAGATTTAGAAGGGCAGTAGAACCATTGATGTCAAAGGCAGGTAAATTAACAAGCTAACTTAAAACTATGTAAAACTTACCTAGCTACAGGTGGTGGTGGAGGAACTGGTTTCTCAGGTCGCTTTGGGTACACTGTTCCAGAAGATCTCAATAAATTATTGGCTTTGGTGGGTGGAGTAGGCTTCTTTGGTGGGACTTGTGGAGCAGCTGGTTTAGGTTTCTGTTCCAGCATGGATTTTTCATCTGAGTAAAAAATATTTAATAAGTTATTAACAATGGGAACTGTTCAGGTTTTTCTATGGCTTAAAGCTAATGTCAGGCTGGAAAAATGTGAAACAGAAATTATTTGTGTTTTAAGTTTTAAGTTATACTGTAATAAGCCTAAATATCTAAAAAAAAGTTTACTTTGGTGGGGTGGGGGACCCCAAATAAGTTTCTAAAATACAAATAATGTCTGTTTCTTATTGTCTTCCCAGCATCCTTTGCTCGTAGGGGTGGTATTCTGCTCAAATATAACCACTCAAGATTTTACTCTAAGCCGAGAATATTATCTAGACTTAAATCCAGACCACTTTCTGAAAATGAAATAGAGAGAACTAAAAATGAATAGGAATTCTAGTGTTAACATAATTATTTTGAAATAATCACAATGACAAAGAAAAAAATCAAATATTAAGAGAAACTGAGGCTAGGCTGATTAGTTAGAAATGAGAAAATTACAGCCTTATATTTATAATTCTCACCTTGGTGTTAGGAATTTTATTAAGAGCATATCATTTAATAATTCTATGAAATAAATTAGAAAATATGCTGGACAAAACAACCTTGAGGACAATTTCAAACCATATTATGAAAAACAAATTTTTCACCAAAAGTACATGGTACTATATACACAAAGACATACTTGGTTCCTGATCTCTCAGGTAATAAGAACAAGTATCAAAACTGACACACGTGCACACGTTAGATATCCATTATACAGCAGTCAGCAAAAAATGTGTTATATGGCATATATGCAAAAATAAGAAACTCCTAAGTGCAATACTGAGTACTTTTCAAAGTTCACTTGGTTTTTGAAAACAATATCTATCTCAGGACCACGAATTATTTCATGAACTTTCACGTTAATCAGAAACTGGTGATAATGAATCTTGAACAAACTCTGCAAGCACTGGGTAAAGCACTCATTCAAAATCACTAGTTTCATCTAACAAACTATGAAAATAACAAACAATGAAAATAACAAAATACCATTGTTCAGTTTTATCATGTATGGATAGCTTCCTTAGATAATTTAAAATATAGCTTAGTCTAGTAAAACCCTGGTCATCCAAACTTAAATTTCTATAAAATATTTAAAAAGATGTTTTATAAAATATATATGGAAGATGTTAAAGGATAACAAATAGAAGTTCACTAATTGAATACACTTCTTTTAACAGATATATAAATAACAGCTTGAAATCAATTCAGTTTCATCCTGCTTTCAGGCTTATCTGTCTTTTGTTTCTAGCAGCATGGCTACAATGAATGTACAGGGTAGTATTCTTTGCATTTCACAACGTTGGGATCCATGTACTTCTTTTTTTTTTTTTTTTTTAATCCTCACCCGGGGATATTTTTTCCACTGGTTTTCAGAGAGAATGAAAGGGAGAGAGAGAGAGAAAGTGAGAAACATCAATGTGAGAGAGACATATCGATTGGTTGCCTCCCACATGCACCCTGACCAAGGCAGGGAATGGAGCCTGCAACCAAGGTACACGCCCTTGGCCGGAAATGAACTCGGGACCCTTCAGTCCGAGGGCTGGTACTCTAACCACTGAGCCAAACCAGCTAGGGCTCCATGTACTTCTTGATTCTGTATAAATGCTTAGTATAAACTCTTAACAAAAGTTCATCCTATATTTCTGATATTTGTATCAAATTACATGTAAAAAGCTGAACTCATGCATATTTCCCCCCAGAAACTGTCTCTATTTCATACCATCTCATTTCCCCATCCTTACAACCCTTGGGATCCAATCATTTAACAAGATGTGCTAATGTAAAACCTAAACCACTCTCCTTACTGCAGAGCCTGATATATATCAGTCTCTTTAGCAGATAATGTATTTTATTAACTCAAATATACCCTTCCTTCATATGATTACACCAAGCTAGTAAGTGCACAGTGTTCTTTTTATAAGACTAATCGATCTGGAAATGCACGTGCCTAAAGTTGGTCCAAAAGCTGAAAAGGACTTACAGTTCATGGTTGTGGAGAGGTTTTCCTCTCTTTCCTATCAAATGGACAAGAAATCATGTTGCTCTGATCGTCACTGTCAACACTATTGTAACCACAAGGGGAATCAATTAGAAGATAAAGTAGACACTAAGGATGGAAGAATGGAAAGAAAGATAATCCAGGTCCATAATAAAATTAGAGAGTTCAGGGTGTGGGAGGTCAGATGGCTCCTACTTCTGGATTTGGAATTATCTAAGATGGTTTTCCTATTGTTTAAGTAAGTTTGAATAAGGATTTTATGTCCTTTGCTCTTAAAACATCCCAACTTCCTTTTATCCATACCCCATCTACCTAAATAGCCCAAGAAGAAAGTTTCAGAAAAACGTTATCTGAACATCAGTGTTTAAATTACACAATAAACATTGTACTGCGTATCCCTATGCATCATATATCTACTGTGCAAGGAACTACAGAACCAATGTCAAATAAGATTCAGATAGATACACACACACACACACACACACTCTCTCTCTCTCTCTCTCTCTCCCCCTATGCCTCTGCCCTTATGAAGTTTAGTTACGTGAGAAAATAAAAAAAAATCTAAACAAATATGTGACATATGAGTTATATCAACTTTTAGACAGAATAACTTAAAAACTAATTCAAGTAGGTGACGTTAAGCTGGATATTATAGCTGAAACCTAAAAAATAAAAAGGAGTTAGCTACAGAAAGTACTCCTTCTAAAAGGAGTATGAGAGAAATGGGATTCCAGGGAAAAGGTACTACACCATGTAATGATGAAGAAAAAAATACTGGTATTCTATGCACATGATATAGTAGGGAACTAGATACTACATACAGTAAGCAAGAAAAGAGAATTATGAGAAATATTAGAAAAGTCAATAGAAGCCAGATCACTCAAAACCTGCAAGGCTGGGATAAGGCTAATGTAATCAAGAGAGTTTGCTTTTGAGAAAATATTGTAAGTCGGATATTTTCCAAAAATGCAATAGGAAGCATTCAAACACATTAAGCTGATGTGTTGTATATGACATACACATATTCGAGGGAAACACGTAAACATACACTTAATTTCCGTAGTATAAATTCTGAAACCCTTATCACTACTTTAAATCCTTTTTGGAGCAGGGTGAGATGTAAACAAATAGTTAAATACACACTCCTTCCCATACCATTGAAAGGCCTCTTTCATGAACTAAACAAGTGGTTCTCAATCTTGTCTTCAGATAAAATCATGTCATAAATACTACTGAGTCCTACCCTATAATAATTCTGTACAGGATTCTAGGCATCAGCATATTTTTTAGACACCCAGGTAATTCTCATATGCAGCCAGGATTGAGAATGACTGTACCGAGCTACCTTTCTAGCTTAGTTCCTCACAACTCCTTTTAGGTGTCTATAGCCATTTCCTGAATATGCTATGCTTTCATTCTTCTCATATTCTCTTTCTGTGGACTTACCTTCACCTTTTTAGTCAACACATTCTGTTCATTTTCTAAGTCTCTGTACAATCACAATAGTTAATGCCTATTAACTATTCAACTAGCAAGGTTGGGATATAATTTTTTTAAATGAAAAAGTAATTTCTTTATCTTCCTAGTATCTAGCAGAAGCAAGCTGCCTCATTCATAATTGACTGCATTTATGTTACTGTATGTTTAACTTTTATTAAGTCTGTTTCAGGTGTAGTTATAAATATAGAACATAGTTTACCACTTCTTAAGAGGTCAAGATTATTTTTAGGTTCAGTCTGGACTGATATATTAGAGATTTCAAAATGTTCTTTGTAGAACATTAGAGATAAGTATCATTTCCTTTTTGGTAAACACACTAAATATAAAATACAATAGAGTCCTGCCAACTCTCAACTCAATGTCTATGTACTACAGATTGTGTCACAGATTAAAAGGCACTTGAGTTTAGTACCTCCAATAATAAATGACCTCAAATGAGTCTTAAACACATGGATTTTGATTTTAATTGCACACTAAAGTGAACTGTATTACACAAGGTTTGAGAACACATAATTTAAAAGCACATTGTGACCACTGATCTTGAACACTCTGCAACATGAAGAATACTGATTTAAGAATCCATAGCCAGCATAGAAGTTGGAAAATCCACACCTTTATTATCACAATTTAATTTTCATAAAGTTTTAACTCTCTATAAATTAAGCATTCCATTTATTGGCTCACCAAGAGAAAAGAATGCTCCCAAGCAAAGCTGTAAAGTAGCTACTCCAAGACTCCCTTTTTAGGCAAAAACTACTATTCTGCCAACTTAGAATTCAACCTAAAACAAAAATATCTTTCAAGAACAAGAAAAAAAATTTTAAACAAACAAAACATGTTCCACCATTAGGTCCTCCATAAAAGAAATTATATATACTTATTCTAGGCAGAAAGTATAAAGTGAAAACAACCAAACATAGGGAATCTGCAGCATACACGTGGTGGTTGAAGCTTTTAAGTATATAAATGAGAAAGTCAAGAATAAGACAACACAAGATTCAACTTTGACAGTTCTTCCTTATTAATTTTTAGTTTAGTAAATTAGTGAATGAATTAAACATGCTCCTACCCCTTTGGAAGGGAACCAGCAACAGCTACATGACCTTCTATAACAGACGAAATCAACTGAACCACAAATCTTTTTCAAGGAGATAGGGTAAGATTTATTGGGCTTCAAAATCCCAGAATCAGCCAACTAGACCCTCACTGTGTAGTCTCATGAAATCCTAGCATGTGACTACAGCTTCTCAGCAATTCTAATTTGCTACCCTTCAGTGTCAGGCTAAAATCTGTGCCAGATGCAGAAATGAAAACATCATCATCAACAAACTTCAAGAAGGAATATACACTAGCACATCTCTCCCTTCCCATTGCTAGTTAGGAAACCAGATGCCATTATTAACATGATGGTGCTTAGTTCCTGACTGGAAGGGTTTATTATCTGGTTATGTCCTACTTGGGAATCAGCTGATCCCACTTC